CCACTCCGAATAGCTTTAAGAGGATATAGAAGAAGCTTTCTGCTTGTTTCATATACAGATGCATGGGGATGAAAACTATTCTGTGCAATACTTTCCACATACATTGTTGATATTATACACTTGGTCAGACATTGAACCCACTCCCCTTTGGGGAGGAAATGGGAGAAGCATTTTGCACGTTTCATGTTCAGATGGATGGGGATGACGACTATTCTATGCAAAACTCTCAACACTCATTCTTGATAACGTATACCTAGGGTCAGAACGTAACCCCGCTATTTTCATTCGCAGCCCAAATGGGAGAAGGATTCTAGGTGTCTTATGTGCAGATAGATGGAGATAAAGACCATCCTATGTGATACTGCAAACTCTCATTATTGATAATATACATCCAGGGCAGACAGTGAATATCGCTCCCCCCTTTCATTTCCAGTCCAAATAGCTTTTTGAGGAAATTGTAATTGAAGAAGCATTCTGCATGTTTCATATCCAGATGGATGGAGATGACGACTAGCCTATGCAATACTCTCTACAACCATTGTTGATAATACATACTTGGGGTCAGACAGTGAGCACCCCCACCCCCCTTCTTTCATTTCTAGTCCAAATAGCTTTAAGAGGAAATTGGAAAACCATTGAGTGTGTCTCATGTACAGATGGATGGAAATGTAGACTATCTTAAGCAAAACTCTTAACTCTCATTGTTAATAATACACACCTAGGGTCAGACAGTGAGTCCCCTTTATTTCCAGTCTAAATGGCTTTAAGAGGGAATTGGAGAGACATTCTGCATGTTTTGTGTACAGTTATATGGGAATGAAGACTATCTTGCGCAATACTCTCAACTCTTAATGCTGATCATTTACACCTAGGGTCGGAGAGTGAGCCCCCTTTTTAAAGTCTAGTCCTAATAGCTTTAAGAGGTAATAGTAGAAGCTTTCTGTGTGTCTTGGTGCTGACCATGTAGGAAGTAAAGGTGCTCACTGCTTGACACCACTTAGATATTACAAAGCAAGAGCATGGTTGGGGCATCATGAAGAATGCCTACATCTTCCCACCTGCCCTAGAAGTAAGCAATGCACAGGCCTGTGTGACTGCAGAAAAGGGTTCCAGCACCCAGCCAAAACGCATCTAATATAAAAGGGGTCCCAAGTTGCCAGTTGGGGCAAGGGGTCTCAAGTTGAGGGACCTTTTTTTAGCTGTAAAGTCTGCACAAATGGTATGTCCACGGCTGAAGCAGGCAGCTGGTCTGGAAAGTTTTTGGCATAAAAATTTGCAACCGGCAGA